TTGAAAGACAAAAGACGAAAATACAGATCTCAATAATATGATATTTTTAATTAAATAACTAAAATAAATTAGATGTTATATAAACTAATCATTTTGTCGATAAAATAAATTATATCTCTATTAATATCACTTCTATTTTTTAACATTTCAATTATTTTTGTTAATTTTTATCGCAAAGTTTTTTGTTAAATAATTATATAAAACAAGTTATAAAAAAATCCAAAGAAAATAAATTTATAGTTAAAATTAATTAAACCAATACCATCTTAAGTTAAAATTGTTTAAGAATCATTCTCATTATCGAATTTTCGAGGTTTCTTCCCTTTGTTGACTTTCTTTTTGGTTTCCTTTGAGACTCTATCGAGTCGCTCTTTTTCAAGACGGCGCTTTTTTATTTGAATGTTTTCAAGAGAAATACGTTTGGGTTCTTTTGTTTCTTTGGGGGTCCCCTTCTTTCCCAAGAATTTAGAGGCTTCTCTTGCTGAATTTATTTCAATTCTTATAACACCATGAATCAAATCGGATGGGTTATAATTAGGATTGATTTTTAAAGCTTTTTCTATTTCCTCTTGTGTTGGTTTTTTCACAGCCACTGTGATTCCAGCCTGAGAAAACGCGCTTGTAACATTGTCCTTATTTGCAACCACTTCCCAAGAATAGAGAATTTCTTTAATTCTTTCTTCTTCTGAAAGGTTCACAAAACCTTTCAAAAGATTTTTAAAATCGGGAGAATCCATTTTTAGAATATTTCCGACTTTGTGCTCAAATTTCCCCTCTTTTTCTTTTAACTCAAATTTGTGCTGCATCAACCCATTTTTGTTTTGTAAAAACACCTTTTCTATCCCAAAAATTCCCAAGTCTAAAGGCTGACACAGATGAGAACTATGGGCAACTTCTTTGATCATTTCGACGTGATTTTCTAAAAATAGATCTTCAATTTGTTTAGAAAAGTGACCAGAGAATCCATCGAGAATTAAGTATGCTTTCGTATCCGATCTAACTCCCATTTGCTCTCTTTTTGCCTTAATTGTTGGGAAAAAGACTCTTTTTAGCCAAAGCGTGTAAAGGTCTGTTGTCAGCATACCAGATTGTTGTGTTCTAATAATAGCTCTTCCACTTAAAATAGCAAGCGTGGTGTCTAACAAGGATAGACGTTTTGTTACCACAAGTGGAGTAAGTTTTGTTCCATCAACACAAATGCAACAAAGTAAACTAATTCTGGCTTTATCCCGATCCACTTCGGTATAAACCTGCTCTCCCGACTCAACAGATGCATAAACAATTTGTTGAGTGGCGTCTACCCATTGAGCAAAACCAACTTCGTCTAAATTAAAAACCAATTCGAAACGTACCCCATCAATTTTTTTCTTAAAATCGGTATAATATGACATAATTGACTCTGGTTTAACTTCTGCCCTATTTTTTCCATTACAAATGCCATTTTTTCTCTAAACCTTCAATGTGTCCGACAATTTGATGCAATTGCCTCCTCTCTAAATTTTTCCCGAAATTTTGCTTAATAAACAAGCCAGCACCCAAAGAAGAAGAACTCCCCACATTTTTAATTTCAGCTTGAAGTTTTTCAATTTCCAAATCTGTTAGCTTTCTTGTTCGTCCTTTTTAGGGTTTTTGTCCTGTTTTCATTTCTTTTTTAATTTTAAAAATTTGTGTTTTAACTCCATGAGATTTCATTGTCCCGAAAAAAGCTCCAAAGAGACCAAAAATGAAAGATTGTTTGTTTTGAGCGATTCTGAAATATCGGACGGAAGTTCAAAAAACAAAAACGGATCTGATCTCTAAAAGAATGAAAATTGAGCCAAATTACATTTTTTCTAAATTTTTAAACTTTTCAAAAGTGTCTGGACACGTTTTGAGATATTCAATGAGGCCTAAACTATTTGGAATTTTAGGACCTGCAAGGTGGAGGCTTTTAACCTTTTCCGAGCTTAGTTTATAAGGTTGTTTAATACCAGAAGATGCCATAAGTTTATAAAGATTATGTTTGGTCGAATTATATATCACACGATGTTTTAAAGATTCTGATAAATATTAAAAATGTAATTATTTAAATTATTATGTTTGGTTTTATTGTTGGTGTGCATCACTTTTTTTATCTGAACTTACTCATAATTGTATGTAGTATACCTGGGTTATCAAATGGGGTTTTAAGCTCAATCAACTCATTGGATTGATGCGTTGTTATTGATTAGGCTCGTTGCAATCAATTTAAGTATTGTTATATTTAATGAACGAATGTTTTGTGTGTGTTGGATTTGTTTTTTATTGAATAGATTAATTTAATTACTAAAATACAATTGATAGTTTTTATTTAAAAAACTATTTACATTCTATTAATAAATAATAATCATTCTGATATTTTTTAGTAAATATAGTTTTATATTTATTGTTCTTTGGTTATATCATTTCGTTACTTTAATTAAAGAATCTATAAAACATAAAACGCATGTTTTGATTTGGATCGATATAAATGAAAGCCACAACACAATTCATTTAACTGTCAAATAAATAAGAGTATACAACCGAATTGATTCTTCGATGAATCGAATTTATTAACAACTATAATTGAATAATTGTTAATATTCGTAATTGTGTTGTATGTTCACTATTGGGGCAGTGATGAAGTTCAGAAACCAATTTTTTCTTTTCTCTTCCTATCTTTAATTTCATCCCTTTGTGAATTAATTTAATAATATTTTAATTTAATTAACTATAAAAAATCATTTTTTATCCGATAATAAACACCAAATTAACACTATGAATGCTTGATGAAACACCGTGTAAATAATTAATAAAAACTATTTTTGTCTTTCGGGCAACATTTAACTGTGTCATTGTATCATTATTCATTTAAAAACTATCATCTTTTGGTTACATGTTGAAAGAATACAACCTCTTTCTTCAACAATTTTTATACCCAAATTGATAAATACATTTTTGGGCAACACAATTGAATGGACAATAAAACCGATACCTTCACCATCTTGGCTTTATATAACTTAAAAATATAACCAATTATTGTATAATGCCATATTATTTTTTTGTGATTTTGCTCGAGGTTTTAAAACCGCTTCCCTTCTTTTTGGTGTGAACTTGTTAATAAATTACATGTATTTTGGTATTTAAAAGTAAATTATGCCACATTTTTGAAACTTTTATTCGAGTTAATTTTATCAGCAAAATATTATATTTTGTTGCCAATTTGTTAAAAATTGTAGTATGAAACACGGATTTTTTTGATTTTTTTTACCAATAAGAAATGTTGCCGACTTTGGAGATACCATGCACTATCTTTTTCGTCTTATTGTTATCCTCTCTTCTCGGCGTATAAAACCGATACCATACCAAATTAAAAATGAACAACACTAAAATAATACCAAAAAGACTGGTTTTGTAAAATAATTGAAAAGTTTTTAAATTTTATCAAAAAACACAGAAAAAAATATATCGGCATCCAAGCGTCTTAAAAACCGCTTCCATCATTTTGTCCTTTAAATTTTATTGAAAATTACCATATTTATTGTTTTGCTTCGTTTTTGGTCATAATTTATTAAAAAATTGTTCACACACTTGAAGATGCATCGTACATACAATACTCAACATGAACTTGAAAAAGAGTTGGGAATGGGTAATTCAAACGTCTTCGCTTGGAACTTGCCAATATAAAATATTGGCAAGTTTGGCCATAAAACGCACTTTTGATTAATTGAGGAATAAATTTTTAGGGGTGATGGAAAAAAGGTGCATTTATCTTCTGATACAAAAATGTAGGTATATCATTATAAAATATGATCAAACTCTGTTAGAACATTAAATTTTATTCTTGAGTATGTTTATAACCACCACGAGTATCATCGATTCTACTCTTAAAAAACAATGAAAAAAAATTAGAGGAAAATAAAGGGGGTGTGAAAAAAAGGTGCACTCATAGGTTCAAGATTTATTAGTATTTGTATTCCAACAAAAAATCGAAAAAGAGTTTGAAAAACAATTCAAAATAATTTTTGGTGTGTAACATTTTATTTTCGTTTTTATGTAATTAATTGTCCTCAAAATAGACTTTTGCTTGCTACTTTTAATAGTCTCGGTTTATGGCTTCGGCAAACTTTGCTTTTTTTCTGTAATAAAATTTTTTCACAAAAAAATTAAAAGGCTACTTTCATTTTGTAAAATATTGTTTGAATAAGAAACCCTGAATTTTTTCTTTTTATTGTTGAAACGGGAAAAAAATAAGCTATAAATTTAATTATAATTAAATTAACAAAAAACTATTTTTTTGAAAGAATCGGTTTTTAAGCGGAAGCGGTTTTTTATCCCCCCTTTATATCTTTTTTTACAATTTTTTTTTGTTTTTATATTAATATTATAATTATTATATAAATAATAATATCTTTATGATTTTGTGTTGAAACCGACTGATTTGACCTAAATTCAAATCAAAATTATGTGTTATACCTCTTCTCAGCTACTGTTTGTACGCCCGTGGAAACCAATTTTTTGTCCGTACTGGGTAGACGCAGATGTCATTTTCCCGCAAGCGGGTGATCCGCGACTGGGGAAGATAAAACGTGGATAAAACGGGTGCACAAACAGATTGTTTGCGTGTGTCTTCCTGAGCCTTCTTTACAATGCTTCGTATTACTCGGTTTACACTAACCCAAGGTAAACCTGTTTGACATTGATTTTTTGAAGCCATACCAATATTTACTTTATTATTTATATACTATTATTATAATTTATATATGATATCAAAATATAAATTTGTTTATTAATTTTTTATTAATTATATATTACAATAATTAAGGGCAATTAAGTCTTTTATGAAAAAAGTTAATGGAAATAAAAATTCACAAAAAATAAAACTTGTTAACACAATTAAAAAACAAAAATTTTAAATATTTCTTCAATAATTCTTTTTCATCATTTTTTTCTTAAAAAAATTGGAATAGAGAACTCTGATTACAAGTGTGTCTTATCAAAGAATGTTCAAGTTGAAAAACCTCGTAAATCAAAAAGGCGCAGCCCATATTTCTGACAAAACAACAGAGACAAAATCAGCTCTTCAGATTATGTCTCTTTCACGACTTCAAAAGGACTTTTCTGAATATGAAGATGTCGAAGGGTGTGTCTTCGACCAAGTGGACCCCAAGAACTTTTACAACTACAAATTGACCATTTCCCCAACAGAAAAACTCTACAAAGGTGCATCATTTGACTTCTCAGTAGAGTGTCCTGAGGACTTCCCCAATCATCCACCCAAGGTGATGTGCTTAACCCCAATATATCATCCCAACATTGACTTAGATGGTCACGTTTGTCTTTCCACACTACGTCTCGACAAAGATTGGTCTCCTCTAGTGACGCTCAATCATGTAGTTTATGGGTTGTATTCTCTATTTTTAGAACCCAATCCGAATGATCCACTCAACGAACAAGCCGGTGAGTTGATGAAGAGAGACTACAATGGCTTTGTTGAGCAACTCAACAAGACTCTCAAAGGTGGTGAGTTCTTTGGAAAGGAGTTTCCTACAAACTTAAAAGAGTGATTTGCTATTTGTCTGTTGCACAAAGTAGTTGAACAACAAATCAATTATCCTCCATTGGCGTGTCGAGGAACGAAATGCTTTGCTTTTCCTTCCCAACAATAGGTCGACTCGACTTTGTTATTCGTTGACTCTTTTCTTCATCAACTGCGGCGGTTAACTTGAACGCGTCGACTAAAGCCGCAAATGTGGTCATCGTCTTGTCTACTGTCTCTTTCATCTTTGGTTCAAGATCTTCCGCTGTTTTCCCAATGAGTTCTTTGATCTCGTCCATAACACTCTGAATCTCTTTGTTATCTGCCGTGTTCTTTTCAATAAGTGGTTTGCACGCTTTAATGAGGAACATAGCGCCCATCATCCATCGAATACAGACCATTGTAGCTTCTTTGTCTTGAATGTGTTTGTCCTTCATTTCGTTCATCGTCTTTTTCGTCACTTCTCTGAACGACTTAATCAAGTTCAAGAGGATTTTCGACATGCAACTACTCTCTTTACTCATCGCAAACACATGCAAGTCTTGTTTGACTACAATGAGTTCAGTCACAATATTCAACGCATACTCATCAACACCTTTAAAGTCGATGTCTTCGACAATCCACGTCTCGTAATACTTCGCATCAATTCGGTTCATCATATCATTGAAATACACACTCCTATCATCAATGTAATCTTCTAGTATCTTTTTGGAGATCTCTTCAAACTCTTTCAGCACTTCTTTCACTTTCAAATTGCCTTCAACCACTAAGTCCTTTTTGGTCGACGAGAACGTGTACAAATCCCACAGAGATTGTCCAGAAAGTGCGTTCTGTGAATTTTCAGTGAGTGAAAGTAACTTACGCTGCTTAGTAAGTTGCGAGTATTCGGAAATCTCATTGATGCCCTCTTCGAAACTTTCATTCTCTCTCTTCTTCCGTGCAAGCAATGAGTCAACACACTCCTTACTCGCAATCTCAAAGAATTCTTTCAACGCTTTGACGGAAATACCAAAGAACTGAATGACTTGTTCGTCCGGGTTTTCAGTCGCTTGAATGATCTCTTTCAGCATCTTAAAGTCTTCCGTGTATATCCTTTGAAACCCAACTAATATCCCATTCCCCGGATTTAAAAAGACTTCGTCCGTGTCTTTCATCGCAATGATTCTCGCTCTTGTGTGCTCTGTAATTCTCTCGATAAATGAACTCACTAACTCCCCATGTGCCTTTCGAAGCGGTTCAATGTACTTCTCTTCGACTTGTTGTGCCTTGAATCCAACTAAGACATTTTCTATTGCTTCCAAGCAACTCTTCTCGACTAAATTCTCTGCATTGGCGTGTTCAAGATCCGTGTTTGTCTTATCCTCATACTTAAACACTTTACTCATGTTCTCACAAAAGTCCTCCACTATTTTCACAACATACGCCGAACGATCAGAAGAAGACACTTTATCGGCATCGCCTTGTTTCTCTCGTGCAAAGAAACCATGTGACACTTCTTTGGCAGCAGTCATCCAAATCGTCTCCAACTCATATGGGAAGTCACTCTCCCCAATCACAATCGCCTCTTTCAATGCGCTACTCAGCACCTCTTGATTCTTCTCATTAGTCTTCCCTATGAAACTGCACAACTCATACTCAACGTCGTCTTTCATATCAGGTTTTGACAACTTATATGTGCTGACTGCCAAATCCAGAAAGATGCTGGCTGTTGTAGTCTTAGAATATGACACAGACACTACAGAGCCGTCTTCAAATATGACGGACGTCTTTCTGAGTTGTGTCGAATTGTTGTCTTCATCTTCTTTCTTTTTGACAGTCGAAAATTGCACTACACCAATCAGCTTCGGCATATGTTCCAGCATTTTATCGCAAAACACAGTGACAGTTTGGTATTTCTTACTTTTCAATATCATGTGGTTCGCGTCATTTTTGCCTTGTGTAGTTTGTCCAGTCGACAGAGTTGACGATCGCGTATTCACCGAGTGTTTAGAGGAAGTCATCGCAAGGACATTCATCGATTGCATCACCACTTTGTCTTGCTTCTTCTCATACTTTTTCGTCGTCAATTTATCAAACGCGATTTCGTATTCTTTTCTTAAGATGTCTCGATGTGTTCTCAATAAGAAGATAACGGGGTTGTCCCGTAACACAATGACGGGGAATTGTTTCAATTCAAAGAGTGTCGTCAAGCATCGATCATATTGATTTCGTGTCAATGACAACAAACTGATCGTATCAAACAACTCATCAGAGAACTTCTGTGCAGTGATATTACAATCTTTCAAGACGTCTTGATAAATCGAAACCTCCGTTTCTTTGGCAAGTCCTTGTGCTCTGTTGAAGACACTGACAAATCTGTCGTCGTCTCTATTCTGCGCCGCATTTCTTAATTGCGCTGGAAGGGAGAACACCGATCTTGCTCTTTCAATCACTGAAATGGCGTCTTGC